CTGGAGTTTTACTGCTGGCTGTGCCACTAACCAACTGTGTGACCTTGGCAAGCCACCATACATTTTTGGTCCTTAATCTTCTCAGCTAGGCAATGAGGAACTTGGATGATATGTCTTTCAGGATTTCCATCTAAACCAAAATAATACTTTCTGGAGTCTAACTTTATAATGTTTATATACAAAAATAGTTGATGTGAGCATGTTCTATTTAATCAATAGTGTCTTCCCTGAGCAAGTAGGGTCAAGAGCAAGAAGATGAACACCCTTTCATTTTCTTAACCATGAACCATCCTAGTGTACTTTAGGGGGCAGAAACTACATTTTTCTACTACAAACTGTTCAGCCAATCCCTGCAAGCCCTGTTTTCTGACATTTTAACATTATTTTCTACATAACTTCTGGCAGATCTTCCCAATCATGACATTTTTCTTCATTTAATGTTCCAAAACTAGATGATCCCCTTGGGGGGGCAAGTTGGTGCTTACTATGTAACATCAGAAATTCTCACTCATGTCATATCTACTTTGTGATCTGCTCTCAACAAATGTGCTTGTCTGAATCACTACAGTAGAAAAGTTCTTCACCCCCATTCTCAAAACAAGTGACAACTCAGAAAATCAACATTTGGGATAACCAAATACTCCTGATTTGGACAGTGATACTCTCTTGCAGTGGTTTTTAAATTGGCCTCCCTCCTCAGGTCCCTGTAATGCCACAAAAGCTACCTCTGAGATGCCAGGCATTGAAAACTCTAGGGTCCCCACCTTTACTCAGACAGACCTGCTCTACTGCTTCCTAGCTCTAATTTTATCAGGTTTTTTTTTAATTCTATGTGATATTTCATTTGGGGAAAAAGTTTTACTGCTTTAAAACTTATAATGAACAAGATGTAAAACCATTGCCTCACTGAACCTTTTTAGATCTGCCCATATTGTCAGACTCCTCCTTTCAAAAGATTTGTGTCTACTTCCCTCAGTTCACTCACCTACTTTCTAGAAATATGGACATGTGCCACAGAGTATGGACATGTGCCAATTATTTACTGTGTTAGGTGTAGGGGAACTGAAGATAAAGTATACAATCCTTGTCTTAGTCTGGGTTCTGCCTGCAATAGAAAGGATGGAAAAAAAAGACTCATTTGGGACTGTGATCCCAAGGATCAGGATAGGAGGAGAGGGGTTAGTCAAACAGGGAAGGGAGAAAGCCAATGTGAGGATGCATCAGCAAGTTTGTAACTCATACCTGATGCTCCAATAGGAATCCAGAGTACTAGAAATTTAATACCCCTTCCCACTCCCAGCAGGCCTAAAGTAAAGATGGCAGCAACTGATGTATAAATATACTCTAGCTTCCTCACCGTGGAGGGGAGGTGGGTGATGCAGGTAACTCTTCTACATTGATTTCCTGTTTCCCAGCAGTTTTACGTTCTAGTTGTCCACAGTAGGAACTGCTTTGGTAATGTACCCTTTGCCTCTTGCCCTTCTCTGTCTCACTTCCTCACTGCCCTACGAGTGTTTTCTGCAGACCTCCTCCCAAGTAAACTACTTGCACTTGAATCCTTGTTTCAGGGTCGGCTTCTAAGGGAACCCAAATTAAGATAGGGATTTTTAGCAGAATATCAGAAATGTGGATTTGAAGTGTAAGAGCGAGAAAGTTTCATCAAGAAACAGATTCAAAACTTAATAGCACTTTTATTTTTAACCACACAATATCTGGCATAATTCTCCAAGCACTGTGGACAATTCCTGGATGGATTGATGCATGATTTCAGATACCACATAGGTGAACTATTAATCTCTACTACTGGCAATACAGTTGGTCCAGAAATAGCCCACTGCCTTCTCAATATTTTACTAATCTCTCGCTAATGACACCAAGTAGAACATCTGGGATACCTTCCCTTTTTGTGGTAACTCTTGGTTTCTTAGGTGTTCCCACCTGTGTTTGAGAATTTCTGTGTCCCTGGCTTGGTTCTCCTTTTGAACCAATTTTTGTACTTATGGCATTTGGAGAATATCTCTATAGAAGAAGAGAGGTGATTCTCAGTGGAAGAAAAGATGTTATTGAGTGATCTACTATTACGATTAACAAGCAGTGCCCTGCAAAATACTCTGATCCTGCACAAACAGCAATGAATTCAAATAACATTTTAAATAACAGTGATATTTTTAATGTTTTATAAAACTGTGATGATAGAACAGCATGCATATTTAGATGTATTTGCCAAATATTAACCGATTGAAGACAACTGAAGCACAGCTTCTCTTTTTGTGCATTCAAAATGAAGGTTCTCCTACTGGAAATATCATGGATGGCTACTAAATATTTGTTGAAATAAAGAGTTTCTAGGCCTGTATTTAATTTCATATAATGTGTCATTGACTGGGAAAGTCTTAGTCAGACCTAGGGGACTCTGTGTGTGTGTGTGTGTGTGTGTGTGTGTGTGTGTATGCATGTGCACGCACACGTGCACACGCCTGATGGAACCTCAGAAACATCTGCTCATCCCTTGTCCTAGGACAATAACAAGTGTACCGTGTAAAAGAAGAATGTTGGAAAGACTGCAGATCTTTTCTAACTTTTAGGCTTGTAATAGTGTTGACTAAATCGAGAATTTTTAATATGACTAAATTAATAATTTTTAATATGAGAACTCAAAATTTGGGTTTTTCTTAAGGCCACTTTCATTGAGCAGATGATTAACAAATGACAGGTGAGAAGGAATTACTTTTAAATAATGTGCAACTGAAATCTGTAATGCCTGGTAATTTCATTCTTTAAACGACTTTATTTATAGCCCATGTAATAGATCATAATCACAGTGCCCCTGCCCTAGCATATGAATTGCCATTGTGCTACTGAATGAGGAGTTTCAGAACTACTAGATCACTGACTCGTTATCTATGGAGCAGCTTGTATATTCAGATCACAGTATATGGGGGTGGGTACTGTGTACACACAAAAGCAAACTCCCAGTGCACTGGAATCAGTCTCCCTTAACATCCTGTTTACAGCTAAACGTGCACAGGCCTACTGTGCCTACTAGTCAGGAGGACAAATTGTGTTTGTGCTGATCTGTGCTGCCTTTCAGTTAGGCTTTTTAAAAGGGTCGCCTGGAGTATTTCTGAATAATGAAGGTTTTTTTTTCCCCTCACATACTGGAGGTTTTTCCTATAGCCTTGAATATCAGCTTTTGAATCCTTGAAAGCCCTCACCACACAATACAGCTTTTTTCAAAGAGCATGGTATTAGGAAATTCTTTTTCTGAGATGAATAACACAGTTTTAAAGTGATTGCAGAGTTCCTGAAGTTAGTAAGACTTTGGAGAATACAGGACAACTTGAACTTAAGGTGCTTAAGACCCTTGTAAAAGTTTTATGGTTCTTTCATGCTTTTGCTTTTGTGTTCTAAAATTTAGAAAAACCTTGAGGGAGAGAAGAGGAAGCAAAATGTTATCAGAAGGAAAAAAATCTTGTGAATACTACCTGGAGGGAAAATGTGAAACTGGATCTTAATTTCCTTTTTGTTTTTTAGAAGAATGTCACTGCCTGTGAAATGTGAGTCCTGTGAAAGACAACATGTTCCAAAGTCACTCTTTGTAACAGCCCCTGAATTCCACATATGGAGTGTTTTTCCCATGTGACTGATTGGACAAATTGTAACTGACTATAAAGGCTCTGGAGCCCCCTTTCCTCCACTCACACATCTCATTCTTCCAATTCCCTGTCCCCTACCATTTATTGTTCATTTAATAAACATTTTTTGTAATATGTATTGTGTGCCAGGTACAGCATTGTGTTGTGAAGACACAAAGCTGGAGATAATGGTGAGTAAAACAGACACCATCCTGTATCTTTTGGAGTTTACTATGTAATGTACACAGATAATATAAATGAAACAACTCTATGTGCTGCCAAGGAAAATAAGAGAAGCCATAAAAGTACAGCGAAGCCTATTTGCTTTAGGGGTCAGGAAACAGACCCCTCTAAGGCAGTAATGATTGAATTGAAGTTTGAAGGGACATTCCAGGCTGTGGGAAGAACCTAGAAAAAATGCTCTGGAACAAGAAAGAAGGTGAGTGCTCCTGGAACTGAAAGTCCAGAACAGAAAGTTGGAGGCAGGTTGGGGAGAATTTGCAGGGAGAAAGCTTCCAGCAGATCATGGAGCTGATTTTTGTCTTTTTCTGGATTTTGGTCCCTGTGTTAAAGAAAATGGGCAGCTGTTAAAGGGTTTAAAAGAGAGATGTGACAAGATTTTACAGGTGTTTTTAAAATACCACTCTGGCTAGAGGGTAGATAAGAGGTTGGAAAGCAGTGGAGGGGGAGGGAGTTATGGGAGGCCCAATAGACTGTGGCTGTGATCCCCACAAGATATGCTGGTGACTTGAAACAAGATGGTGACAGAAGAGATGGAATTGCAGAGTTTCTTGAACTATTTATGCCAGTAGCTGAGCTAGACTTGAGAATGGGCAATATGAAAGCACAGAGATTGATGCCCAGGTTCTCAGCTAGTGTAAGTGGCTGGACGTTGGGGACATTAACGGAGAAGCAGACAGGAGAGGGGTACAATGGGTTGTGTGTGTGCAGATGGAAAGAGGGAGGTGTGGATGGCAACAGGAGGGAGAAGCAAAAGTTAACTGACTTCTAGTGCTAACACTTCTAATCTTTCCAACCAAAGTACTGGCTTTCACATTTTTGACAGTGACCCTCAGTAAGAAATACATTTTACATAACCTCCCCATACACAGACAGGGTTACAGAAATTCACAAAACAGTGCTTTCCTGCGTTATGTGCAATTCGGGGCTATTTCCTTACTTCATTAAGAAAAAAGGGCAAAGCAAACGTCAGCGTGGGCCGCAAGGCGGTGACGCTGGCAATGACGGTGGCAGCGACCATTGTGGCGTCCTTTGTGACGCCCGTGCAGCTGCGCAGCTTGGAGCGCGGAGAGAGCGGCTGCAGTTGCCCAACCCTCACACAGGGGTGCCCTTCACTCCCCCAGCATGGCGGCCTACGCCGCCTCACACAAGCCTATCAAGGGGATCCTCAAGAAAAAAAGCTCTATGGCGGCTTCCCCGGCGGCAGAGGCCCCCAAGCAGCAGTCCGGAGGGACTACCGAAGTACAAAGAAAAAAGTCTCAAAGGTGGGACGAATCAAACATCCTGGCGACATGCCGCCCTTCATACAGAGAGTATGATTTAATGAAGATAAATGAGCCCAGCACTTCCCACCTCAGTATGCAAGATGGCAGAGAAGATACAGCGTATGATTTGGAAACAAAAGACCCGACCAGAGCCACGACCTTAGACATCTTAGCTGAGAAGTTTGCAGCCATTGATACCTCTGAGCCGAAGAACTTGAAGATGACAGAGCCAGAGAGCGACGGGCCTCACACCAGCAAAACCTTCCTCGACAAACAAGAAAAACAGCGGCAGTTTGAATTGAGAAGGAAGCTGCACTGCAACGAAGGACTGAATATCAAATTAGCTAGAGAGTTAATTGCAAGAGACTTCCAATGTGAAGAAATGGAGGATGGAAACGAACAATGTCCATGTATTACTAACGAAGAGAAGACTCCTGCAGAACCAGGTCCTGCAAGTGATGAACTGCAAACCTAGCAACGCTATGTGTTGAAAACATTTGTCCACGTTGCAACTATTTGTCGGGTACAGACCATTACTATAATACACTATTATTACCACTGAAATACTATCAGTTAAATTGCACTACCGTAATTAAATGGTCAACTTTGAAAATAAATAGATTAAACGGAAAATGCCTGCTTGATATTTTTGCGTCCGGTACTTTGCCACAAAAACCACATTACTTTTATATAACTTGGTTAATGTATATATTATATAGCCTTTTATGTGTTAAGGGTTCAAAGTGGGATTAATTTAAATTCACTTCAAGATGCACCAGCTTTTATAGGAAAGGTTTTGTTATAATATCAAAATGCAATTGGTGCTACAGAGCATGGTTAGTCTTGACCATGTCTCCAACACTCATCAAGCCTAACCAGACTAGCATGACAAAGGATGCCACAATGGTTATGTAATCTGATAAATATTCAAAGTCATAAACACTTGTCTTTAGGGTGGGTGATTTGCCTGTTTAATTGAGAGGGAACATAAGAATGATTGCTGCATTTTCTTAGCCTAGTAACTTTAAATTTTCTCTTAATTTTCTTTCAGTGTTTACAAGGAAATGAATGAACTTTTTCTCATCAAAAACAGTCCTTTTCATGAATTATCAGGTTAAAATTGCACCAACGTTCTGTTCTGTTTCTTGTATACTCTGTGGGCAGATATTATACCAATATTTTTAAAAGTTTAGTGTTATCTCAGTAGTCTGTTCTCATACCAATCTTAACCTCTATTCCTTGTTTCCTCAGTCCTCCTCATGCATATACACACAATCCTTTATAGAGTATCATATTGTTAAGACATTAGGAACTCTTCCTCTCACATTTTCTATCATTTATTGCAACAATGTCATTTCTATTTCAACCATCATGGCCTATTCAGTCTAATATGTGGAGAAAATAGATTGAACAACAGAAGTGCTATAGTTAGGAAGTAGAATTCAACTGTTAAATTTCTATATGTTTCTGATTTACAGCTTGCTAAATAACTTGTTATTATTAGTTTATTATTTAACCTAATTAGCTTTTAGAAAACAACTGAGATTTTATTTGTGACAGAATTCTGTGCAACTGGTGACATGATTATAGTCCCTGAATATACACAGACAGAAGTAACCCCAAAGGTGTGTGTGTGTGTGTGTGTGTGTGTGTGCATTTCATTTTTAATTTAAAATTTTACTGATAATTGTAGATTCACATGCAGTTGTTAGAAATAATAGAGAGATCCTGTGTACCCTTTACCCAGTTTCCCTCAATGGTAACATTTTGCAAAGCTATAGTACAATGACACAACTAGGATATTGATATTAATATAATCAATATACAGAACATTTTATCACCACAAGGATCCCTAATGTTGCCCTTTTATAGCCACATCCATTTTTATAATTTTGTTATTTTAAGAATGTTATATAAATGAAATAATAGTATGTAATCTTTTGGGATGTACCAGAGTTTGTTTAGTCATTCATCTGTTGAAGGACATCTGGATAAGTTCCAGGTTTGGGTATTACAAATGAAACTGCTATGAACATTCATGTACCGGTTTTTGTGTGAACATAAGTTTTCATTTTTCTGGGATAAATGCCCAGGAGTGCAATTGCTGGCTCATATGGTAGCTTTAGTTTCTTAAGAAACTGCTAAACTGTTTTCCAGAGTGGCTGTGCCCTTTTACATTCCCACCAGCAATATATGAGCATTCCAGTTTCTCTGCATCCTCACCAACATTTGGTATTGTCACTATTTTTTATTTAAGTCATTTTTATAAATGTGTACTAATGTCTTAATTTGCATTTCACTAATGGCTAATTATTTTGAACATCTTTTAATGTGCTTATTTACAATCTGTATATCTTCTTCTGTGAAATGTCTTTTGCCCATTTTTAGTTTATTTTTTACTCTTCAGTTTTGAGAGTTCTTTGATTGGCAAATCTTTTCCATAATATGTAGTTTATCCTCTTATGGAGACTTTTGCAGAACAAAAGTTTTTAGTTCTGATGTGGTTCACTTTATCAGTTTTTCTTTCTTTTTGTTTTCTAAAGATTTTATTGGGAAACTGGGGGAGGGAAACAGCATTGGGGAATCGGGGAAGGGGAACAGACATGTTGCTGTCCTTTTGTTCTTCAGTCTAGTTGTGGAGGACGTCACTTCACTGGCCCATGTTGGTATTTTCATTGCTCTCTTCCCCGTGTGAGGCAAATGCTCCCTGGCCATTGGCTGGCCACACAAGATGGTTCACGGAAGCTCACACGTGCTGCCGGCCAGCCCCACTGCAGCCTACACCATTGCTGGGGACTCACGGCAGCCCAGGTCGAGCTATTGTTCACCATCTTAGCTGTAGAGGGCAAAGTGTCACTGGCCCTAATGTGGGATCCAAACCGAGGCCTTGCTGCTCAGAGCTGGCATCCCAAGCCAACTCCTAACCAACGTGCCATTCGGCTGGCCCTATCAGGTTTTCTTTTTATGAATGATGTTTTTGGTACCCTAATCAAATGTAATCCAGAAAGATATCTTTTTCCAAATCGTGATTTCCTAATTAAGTGACATGGTATTAGACTGCATAGAAAAAACAGACCTTTATTATTTAAGTTTATTTTTCCTTTGTAGAAAAGAATCTGAGAATGTTCAGTTTCAGTTTCAACTTTTTGTCAGTATCACCTCCTCTACTAAACTCCTTTGATGTCATCATTTGCCTACTTATTTTTTCAGTATGAAATTCAGCAAGGCTGGCTATTTAAAACCTGGGACATACAATAGTATAAATGTATTGTTAAGTAAGAGTATCTTCGGGGCCGGCCGAGTGGCACGATGGTTAAGAACTCGCCTGGGATGCCAGAGGGCCCCGGTTCGGATCCCACATACGAGGGCCAGTGACACTGCCCTCCACAGCTAAGATGCTGAACAACAGCTCAACCTGGAGCTGGGCTGCCGTGAGTCGCTGGCGACGGCATAGGCTGCAGCCCCTGTGGCAGTGGGTTGCCATGGGCTGCCATGGGCTGCCGTGTGTAGCCAGCAGCCAGCGTGAGCGGCCAGCAGCCGCAGTGAGCGGCCGTCCAGAAGCCGGCGACTGATCTGCCTCGCCCGGGAAGAGCGCAATGATGGTGCCAACTTGGGCCAGTGAAGCAATGTCCTCCACAACTAGACTGAAAAACAAAAAAACGACAGCAACTTGTCTGTCCCCTTCCCCCAATTCCCCAGCACTGTTCCCATCCCCCCAATTCACCAATTAAAAAAAAAAACTTTAAAAAAAAAAAAAGTAAGAGTATCTTCCACATGAAAAAAATATATTTTCCCCCAAAACTTTGAAATGGCTTACATTTTTCCCCTCTACATTAGTATACTAAATAACATGTTGAATTAAGGCACAATGATATCAAAAGAATGGTAGTCAAAAGCCACTAAATTTGTTCCTTTAAATTGTATCCTGCAATTTGACAAACACTGAACTCAGAATATCTTAATATTTTCAGTTAAAAGATTGTGTTCTTTATGTGCAAATAATACCTGGGAGTAACACTGTAGATGCTTATCAGCCATTCACATCTTACAGTAAATGAAGAACATGACATGAAATATTGATTGGGAAGGGAGTGAGTCAATTTAGTGGGCATTATAAAAATAAAAGGAGTGAAAGAGATACCCAGAAGTGAGGAGTTGGGAAGGGAAGGGAGAAAGGACGGAGAAAAAAAGAATGGAGGATTAAATTCACTAGCCTTAAAAGTTATGGCTGGTTCTCATTGAGTCATCAGCTCAGAATTGTCATAAAGAGGACACAAAATCTTAGTGAAGAAATGATGAGGAAAAAGATAGTTCTCTTTTCCACCCAACTGAATAATTATAGTAATACTACCACCACCACCACTACTACTACTCATTGTCATTTATTGAGTATATGCAATGTGTCTGAGGCTTGAAAAGAATTGTCTCATTTAATTATGTGAGCAATCCTTTGAAATGGTATCATTTTGCCCATTTCAGAGATCAGGAGATTTAAAATAAAGAAAATTGCATAATTTTCCCAAATCCATAGCTGCTAGGTGATGAAATCAGGATTCAAACCCAGACCTGTCTGGCTCACTCAGGTACAGTCTTTTCCCCACTATAAAACACTGGCTCTATTCAGACCCTAGTTGGGATTGAAGGCCCTCTCTCTCCCTCCTCCTTAAGCACACAAGTCTACCCTGGCAGTGTAGCAAGGGTTGCTTTTCTGTATAGCTGTGAAGTGTGAGTCATCTAAGGAGATGTTCTCCAATCTAGGAACTTCCCCCGCCCTCTGCCACACTGCCCCAAGCCCTAAGTCCTCTTCCCATCCCCTGCTATGAGCCTGTGCTCAGCAAGGAACCTGAAACATTCACGCATACAAAGATGTCACTGTATGAAAGTGACATATTTGTCAATTGCACTTCCAGCAAGTGAAAAAGCATTTACCAAGCATAGCCATATGTCAGAGGCACTAGCTGGTGCTAGGAAGAGAAAGATGAATGAAACATAGCCCTTGCCCCCAAAGAGGTCTGAGTCTAGTCAGGGAGACCTGTATGGTTCTAAAATAATAAGACTTCTGGGAAAAAGGATGCCTATATTTAAAACAGGACAAGAGCCCTTATTTAGGTTACATAACTACCTGAAAGCAAAGAAGTGGTTTCCAGATGCCTGTGAAGGGAGCACCAGCCTTCAGTGGAAGACTGCTCTCTTCTGAGTACCTTTTGTCTGAAAATAAGGACAGAGGGAGCCTAGCCCTTGAAACCTGTTCTGGTCCAGGAGAAGAAGAGACCCAACTCACACTTGGCTAAGGTTAGGGAAAAACCACAGTGCAAAAAAGATTAGAAAACCATGGAAGATTCATAAGTAGGGAGGTAAGCAGAGAGAGATGAGAACATCAGAGGGAATACAAATGCTTCTACATTGAGTGAGGGCTGTTGACTTGGAGAATCCTTTTCCACAAAGTGATACTGAGTTTTGTTTTTATCTTTGAAT